TTCACAAAGAAAAATAAGAACAACCCACGAAACATGTGACTTTCGCTTTTTTTTCTTTTTTTTTTTTTTGAGTTTTCCCATTTTCCATGAGAAAACACAAGTTTTCCTTTTATTCCAATGTGGTTTTCCTATGTTCCTGCCTCCTCCACGTCGCCGAGCGGAGGGCCCCTGGGCCGCTCGGAGGGCCCTGGACATGAAACCCAAATCTGATATCTAATAACATTATAATTCAAAATAAACGCTTATCGGGCAGATCCTAACCCCGAATGTTTCCAATTTTTAATATGTTCAATTCAAATGTAATTCGGTAGATTCCAGATCCAAATTTCCACAGAATGCGAGGGGGCCACTGAACTGCCGAAGGCCATTTCGATTCGCCAAATTAAGTTCAGGTGGCTCATGTTTTCCGCGGGGCAGCAATTCAAACTGACAGAATGCAGTGAAGGAGCAGAGGTGTGCAAGGATGGGAAATGATGTCTACGCAGTTGGCATGCAGCTAGCGCCTTTGGCGCCTGGCTGGCGCGCTGGCGCTCCTGCGCTTGCGTTTGCTCCCCTTTGTCACAACCTGGGGATCCTGCCACTCCTCTACACATTTCGAGCTCGGAGCCTTCACATGTCCCAACTCGAGCTGTCGCCTCAGGAGGGCCATCGCATGGGCATGACAAGACACGGGGGAAAGTTTGGACATCCCTTCAGGCGCTCTTCTTTTCATGTGCAGTGACACAACCTTCCCGAAGGTGAACAAGTCCAACGTGAACTCACACCGCTGGCGAGTCGATGCGAAAACATTGGCGTTGTACGCCTTCAGCTGGAACATGACTGCTTCATTAGGAGTTGTCCCGTATTGGCACGGCAGCCCCGTTCTCATTCTGTACACGGATATGTTCTGGTAGTACAAATACTTTGCGGGCGCCATGTACCTGGAGAGGAGATCGCTGACCGTCGACTGGGCATTGCGGCCTGTGAGTGGTCTCTGGCACGACCTCTCGTTCTGGCTCATCGCTGCCATGATGTCAAGGCAATACTGTTTGTGGTTCAGGTAAGCCTTTTCCTGGTAAGCCGTTGTCTGCAAACGTTCATACGCCTTGCGAAGATCCGAGGGGCACGGTTTGAAATCCACGTGCGCCCGACCCCTGGGCTGGCTCCCGTCGAAGTAGCGCTTCGCCTTCAGACTCGGCGCAGGTCTCCCATTGAACTTCAGAACGATTTTCTTGAAGTCCCTGCTCAGCTGGTCACCCTCCTTGATGAACTTCACTAAGTCCATCCACGCGTGTAGAGGGTCACCGCCGACGCATTTTAGGTTCGGAAAGAGTTTCTGCGCCTTCTGCATGTCCCACTTCTCCGGTGTATCAAAAAGGATAATCTCCGCTTGGCGCCTTTGCGCAAGCGTTGCGTTTGCCTTGATGAAATCTGAAAGTTCTGGAACTCCTTCGCTGTACCCTGGCTTGCAAGATACTGGCACGCCGTCCGCGATCATCACGTGTACGCAGTGGAACTCAGAACGATCGGAATCGTCCTTCTTCTTTCCGTGGCTTGTCTGCCCGACCACAGCTAGCGTGTATTTATATGATGAATCGAAAGACATCACGCGGAAGCTCAACTCGTCGACGCACTTCTTTTTATATGCCGCAGAGATCTGAACCCCAGCCTTGTAAATTTGCTCCCACACTGTATTCATGGTAGGCACCGCGAAGCTCAGTTCGCTACCGTGCGATATGTAGTGCTCAATGATGCGGTCCCGAATTCGCAAGTACTTGCTCTGCGTGCGACTATCGTTGAAGGACACCACAAGGAGCAGAAACTCGGGAGTGACGCGGTAGTTGCGGGTAATCCTGATGCCCTGGTCGTCGACAGCAAAGCGGGGGCCGCGAACGTCGAGGATGACGTGAGCACGGACATCGTTCGCATTCCGCAAATTGTCGACCCCAACGGAATCACGGAGAAGCTGGGCGCTGCGTCCTAAGTAGCCTTCGCCGCCATGCTGCCTGGCACCCGTCCTCCCCCCCTCCTCCTTCCTCCTTCCCTCCTCAGCTTCTCCCGAGCCCCTTGCAGGGTACCGAAGAGCACCCGAAGACAGCCGAAGAGCACCCGAAGGGCACCCGCAAGGCACCCGCAAGGCACCCGAAGGCACCCGCAAGGCACCCGAAGGCACCCGAAAAAACGTCTCCTCAGAATTCCGAGATCGACACCGATAGTAAAAATGCACAACGTCATAATGAAAATTACATTTGGAAAATCTTGATTTTCGCGGATTGCGAGAAATGTACCGCGTTCCGCAAGCATGCTACGGAAACAACAAAAAAAATCATTTGTGAAAATGTGCGAGCGCTTCCCCCTTCCAAATGTCAAATTTGTGGAAGTGTGCGGCGTTCGTCCCTGCCTCTTCCCCATCCTCCTCCCTCCTCTCCTCCGTCCGTTCTCGCCGTCTTCCTCCCTGCCTCGCCCTCCCTCCTCCCCGTCCTCCCCTCCTCCTCCTTCCTCCTTCCCTCCTCAGCTTCCGTCCGTGTCTCCCATCCTCCCTCCCTTCTCCCTCCCTCAAAGCAATGCAATGTGATTGCAATGCCGTGCGAGTGCAACGCAATGGAATATGATTGCCATGCAATGCAATGCAGTGCAATGCGATGCACTGCGATTGAAAGGAAGGGGAGGAGGAGGAAGATGAGTGAAGAAGAGAGGCATCGATGTCAGAGTCTTCTTCTACGACAAGAAAAGCAGGGGCACCGATATGCGCGCGCGCCCAGGAAGAACCTATGATGATACATAGCGTTCCAATCACAAGGAAATCCATCAAAAAGGCCTTGTTGTAATCATACAAACAAAGGGTCGCACGGCCCCCCCCCCGCTCGGGAGCGGCCAGGGAGGGGGGGGGGGTCCGAGAGGGGGGGGGGGGGGCGCAAGTCAGGACCGGCGGCACGTGCGCGGCCCAGCGGGGGGGCCAGGGACGTGATGACAGAAGAAGAGGCGCCGTGACATCTGGGGACACATCATGGCCCCCGAGGAAGAGGAGGAGGAGGAGGGGAGGAGCAGCATGTGCAGTAGGGGAGGAGGAGGGGGAGGAGGAGGAGGAGGAGGAGGAGGAGGAGGAGGAGGAGGAGGAGGAGGAGGGGGAGGAGGAGGAGGAGGACTAGGAGGAGGAGGAGCCATGACATCCGCCCCCCCCCCTGGTCGTCACCCCCCTCTTTGCCGCCCCCCCCCCGTGGGACGCTCCAGGCCGTGCAGGCCCAGGTCCAGCGGGGGGCACGGGGGGGCCTACGAGAGGCGCGAGCGGCACCGGCTCGCCAGGCTGCTGTCCAAGCTGTCCTCTCGGACAGCCTTAAGTCGGGCCTGTCCCCCTGCAGGATGATTTTTCGACAAAAAAAATACACCCAAAATGCTCAAAAATGGTCAACAAATGCAAACAAAAATAGTCCCCTGACGATTTGTTTGCCAAGTTTGAAATATTCCCGTGTAGAGGGACAGGCCCGACTTAAGGGTAGCCGGCCGGAGGACGGGTCTTGGGCAGACAAATCGGGTCAGGTCGGGCATGCCCTCCTGCGGGCGGCTTCTCACAGAAAGACCAAAAATAGCAGACGCATGTCCTCAAGGCAACACAACTCACCAATCTTGAGCATTCCTCCTGCAGGGGGACATGCCCGACTCGACACTTGGGAAACTTTCTCCGTCGCGGCACGGCGGAGGCAATCCGCACGGGCGCCCGCAGTAGTTCGGGGCGCACGGCTAGAGAGCTGTCCAGGTGCAGCGGGGGGGGGACGCGGGGAGACAGGGCGGCCGCGCAGGGAGCGGAGGGGGGGAGGGCACTCACAGGTGAACGGAGCTCGCCGCGAGCGCGCTGGTGCAGCCAGCCTGCGCTGCGGTGCCAGGGCACTGGGCGCGGGACGGCATCACGGCCACACCCAAGGACTGTAGCAACGTGCTTTATATATATATATATATATATATATATATGGATATATATATATATACATATATATATATATCCATATATATATGTGATGTTTAGATATATATATATATATATAAACATCACATCCAAGGAATTAGCAAGGTGCTTTTTCATAACACCAAGCATACGCGACCAAACAACAACTGAAACATAACAACTCGGCTCTCCGGGCGGATTCCTCGGGTCGGCGCTGGGACCCCTGGCGGCGCCTCGGGCGCCGCTCCTGGCTCCTGGCGCGCTCGGCGCGCTAGGGAGGCGGGTCCAACGCCGATCCGAGAAATCCGCGCGGACCTCAGAGTCTTCATGGTTGCGTCATTGTTCGTTCCCTGAGACAATGCGCAATCGTAGCGTCTGGCTAGGCACCTGTGTATATAGCCTCTCCTCTGCAGCTTCTTTTTGCTTCGGGCAAGGCGTCGTTGCGCGCGGTCCGCGCAGTGGGACGGGGCAGTGGGTTGGCATGGTTGGGCGGATCTGACATTTGCTTTCACAGTGGTCGCGAAACGCCATGGGTCCACCGCAGCAGCACCTCTGGGAATGGTCCAAGGGGTGCGGCGGCCTTCCCTGGCAACCTGCAAAACAGCCCCCGCAACGCTTCGGCCTTCTTGGGCTGATTTCTGCCACCTCTTCGAGGAGGGGAGCTTATTACAAAAAAACTACGATGAGAGCGGAGCAGGAGGACGATGCGGAGGAGGCCGTGGCATGGACATAATTAACAGTCGTTCTCACACAGAAGGGAAGTGAAGGAGGGGGCACCAGGATGAGGAGGATGAGAAGGGTGAAGTGAGCAGGGAGGAGAAAGAGCAAGAAGAGAGGAGGAGGAGGTGGTGGAGCAGGAGAAGGACGGATGCTGAGGAGGGCGATGAACAGGGACGTGGAGGACAGGGGAGGACTGGGGGCGCGGAGGGAGGAGGGAGACGCATGCAGGGTGGGGAGGGGTGGAGGGGGGGGGGGGAGGAGAGATAGGAGGGGAGGAGGAGGCGTCTAGGGGGGCGGGGCGAGGCCGCCGCTGCCTCAATCGGCCCCACTCTGGCGCCCCACTTGCAGCGGCCGGGCCGTCCGGGAGCAGCAGGTGGAGCCCCGGCGGAGGGCGGATCGCGGACGACGCCGCGGGCGAGACGGGGCCCAACGCCCCGCCGGGCGGCACCGGACCTCGGGCGGCGCGCCCGCTCGGGGGGCCGGCCAGGAGGAGGGGGAGGAGGAGGAGGAGGAGGAGGAGGAGGAGGAGGAGGAGGAGGAGGAGGAGGAGGAGGAGGAGGAGGAGGAGGAGGAGGAGGAGGAGGGGGAGGAGGGGAGGAGGAGGAGGAGGAGGAGGAGGAGGAGGAGGAGGAGGAGGAGGAGGAGGAGGAGGAGGAGGAGGAGGAGGAGGAGGAGGAGGAGGAGGAGGAGGACAGCAGCTGCGGGGCTCCTCCGCGCGAGCCGCCACCGACGCGGGGGGCCCGCCGAGGCACCCGGAGAGCGAGGCCCCTGGCGGGTGGCCAGAGTGGAGCCTCCTCCACGCCACCCTGAAGTCGGGCACGTCCCTCTGCAGGAGGAGTGTTTACAAATAGTCAAAAAATAATCCGAGGACGATGTTTTGACTATTTTTTGAGCACTTGTGGGGCATTTTTTGAAGTATTCCGCCCGAACTCCCCCTCTGTAAGGGAACGGGCCCGACCTAACGCCACCCCTCGGGGGCGCGAAAACATGTATCGGCGATCCATGGATCTGGCGCGCGAGCGCCAAATCCCTGGATCGGGAGGCGCCCTCCCCTAAAATGCGGCCAGTGCCGCCTCGCTCGGCTGCGGAAATCTGCGATTTCCCTTAGAAACGGGACCCGTCGCCAATCCACGCCCCCTTGATCCATGTTTGCGATCGCCCGGACCCCTCCGCGGAGTCTGACCACCCTCCACCATATTCGTCCCCCTCCCCCGCCGTCCTCCCCTGCCATCCTCCGCGCCGCGAGGGCTGCCGGCCCGAGCTTCTCCCAGCCCTGCGAGCGCTTTGGCGGGTGAGGGAGACGAGGGGGCGACGAAACGAACGCGAGAAGACACAGCGACCTTACGCCGCGGCTTCCGCGGGCCGCCAGAGTAGTACATCGCGTGGGGAAAAGGGTGCTCACGCGCGACAATACGCGGGAAAAGTACGCGCGACGGGAACGTCCGCGCAGTCGACGCCGCGTTCGTCCGTCATTCGGGTGCGCCGGGAGCTTTGCTCGAGGGGGCTGGAGCCCTCTCCAGAGCGTGTCTTTGGTCGCCGGGAAGTGAGCGGAGAGAATCAGCTCAGGATTTGGCTGGATGCTTGGCAGGCTGGGTCCCTTCGAAGTTTGAGGTGTTCGTGAACGGGCCATCGTAATGCAAGGCGGCAGTCGTGAATAGCGGAAGGCGTGATGGAAATGAGTACGAAGACTGAGGTTCCGAACGATACTCCAAGCTCGTAAATGTTCTGGTTTCGGCTACAAGCCTGGTTGGCACGGGGTAAAAATGACCTTGTTGCGGTGTTTTTTCGAGGCCGCGGGGGGATCAAACACAAGCGCGCAAGACTATACCGCATCGCGTTCGACGATCGGGGGACCCTCGTGAGCCCGCACCACAAGGTCACTTTGGCGCAGCGTCACTAGTGCGTATACTCGGTTGAATCGCCAGGCTGCGATGAGAAAATCGCCGATCATGTCTTCTCAGGGGGGGGGAGAGCCGAACCGGCCTCACAATCATCCCTGCGCGCGCGTGGCAGGAGCAAGAGCGACGCGCCGAAAAAAGCGCGCCGCCCCTGGGCGCGCCAGGAGGGGGCGCGCTGGGAGGGCGCGCTGTTCGCAGCTCCCCTTCCCCCCCCCCTGGCTTTCGGGGAGGGCTCGGGGAGGCCATATCCGGGCGCGCCGAGCCTGCCCAGGGTGGACCCCTGCGGGCTCGCACCAGAGGTCACTCCGGCGAGGAGCCACGCTCACGCGCAACCGACATTGGGCAACCGATATATAGGCCCTCCAACGCCCCCCACACATTGTGAATTGGGCGTGGCTTCATGGGGGGGTCACAAATAGGGGGGTCAGAAACGGTCCCCTTTCGTGCCCCTTTCCGGTCCCTCCGGAGCCCCAGGGGGCTCGTTTAGGCACCGTTTGGGTACCTTTTCGGACCACCCTCGCCACCCCCCCATTTATGACCCCCCTATTACGCAACGCCCAAGGGAAGCCGGGGCGTCTAAACGCCGGGCTCCGAGGCCGACTCAGGCGGTCAAGTGTCAGAAAGCGAATGCGGTCCTCAACTCAGGTATGGCGTTGTGCCAAGAAGCTGCAGAGGCGATGGCATCGATGGATGGCCTATGACTTCTGGCATTTTTTGACAAAGGGCAATTATAGACCCTCCAACGCCCCGCAAGTTCGGAAGCCAGGGCACCTGAACGCCGGGCTCCGCGGCTTACTCAGACGACCTGGTGTATCCTTCGAGCCCCTCCCAGGACCGCAGCGCGTTCTGCACGCATCCTGGGCACTGGAGACGACGAGAGACCACACCACGGAGGGCTCGTGCCGTGACGCCAGCTGCGCTGGCCCCCGACAGCGCGTCGGTCGCTCAACCCTGAACGACCGCAGTGCTCCGACGGCGCAGATCGCTCGACATCTCAGAAGGGCCCTGGGACACACAAACAAATACACACCCAAATAACAGGATTCCCCATACTTCTCGATATTTTCTGGGTTTTTGTCTTCCCCCCCACTGCCCATATTTTCCTATATTTTCTGTGAAATCGGCGATTCATTGTGTCTGTGTGTTTTTTCCCTCCTGAACATCGGCCGACGCCGGGCCACTGGCGGCGTCCACCCGCTGGGGTCGCGGGCACGCCGGCGCGGAGCGGACCTGCAACCCTCGAGCTGCATCGAATCGCGAACTCGGAGCGGACCGGAAGCGCACCGCCTCGCCAACGGACTGCACCAGAAACGGATCGACATGGGGGCCGCACGGCGGGAGCTCCGGGCCCCGCTGCTCTGCCGCAGGGCTTCGAGCCGCACCGACGCGTGGCAGCCCCATGGGCCCGAAGACGGGCGGCACCGCCCGCGGAGGGAGCAGCTGCGACGCCCGGGTCTCAGGGGCTCGAGAGGGACGCCTCTCTCCCAGACCCCCTCGAGTCATGAAAAAATCACGACGCGAGGTTTTTCGCTATTTTCGGCCTCTGGGGGCCCTTACCGGCCCTCAGGACCGTCAAAAAACGACTCATGATGAAAAGCCGGTCCCGGGGAATGGGTCCGGACCTCTGGGGGTCGCGTCATGAAAAAATCATGGCGCGATATGGTAGTCGGCGCCAATCTGGCGCCAATCTGGCAGGCCCAAGCTGGCAGACGGGGGGCCATCTGGCGAGGGAGCCAACGCGAATCCAGTCTGGCGAATAACCCAAATCATCCAGTTTGGCCAGGCCAGATTGGCCCTTGGGGCCCAATCCAATCTGACAGTCTGGCCTTCGACTACCCAGTCTCTGGCCAGCGAGTAGAATCGGAATCGCGGCCCCGTGCCGGCGAATCGAGTCGCATCGGCTCGAGTGCGGGCACTGAACCTGCGATGCACCCTCGCCCGGTGGCATCTGATGGGCGCCTCCCATCCCATCTGGTTGGCTCTTGTGAATCGGCACTGATCGACGCTACCCGTCGCTAAATCGACGCGACTCGGCGCTAAATCGGCGCAGCATCGGGGCTATCTCACCGTCTACCAATCGCTAATCGACGCTGGTGCACTCTGAAGACCGGGGCCAGGCGAGAAGGCCGCCGGAGGCCGAGAACGACCGTGAAACCTCGCGTCGCGATTTGCATGCCGCGTGCACGTCTTGGGATTAGGTCGGGCCTGTCCCCCTACAGGCGGATCTTAAGCGAAAAGTTAAAAATATCAAAAAAAAAATCCCCCAAAACCATCCAAACATACTCGAACACATCGTCCCTCGATTATCTTGTTACTTTCGAAAAAAAGAATCCCCCTGTGGAGGGACAGGCCCGACGCAAGTCTGGGGAGGAAGGCTGCCCACGCCGCCCAGAACGCCGAGCAGAGCGCCGAGGCCCGGGCAGTACGGCGCGGCGGGCGCCCTGCCGGGAAGGCCCTCCATCCGAGGCGGCGCTCGCCCTGGGAGCTTCCTAGGGGCGGGGCGGCCGGGCCGGCCGAGCAGACCCGCGGGCCCCGTGCGCAGCCTGTTTTCTTTTGGGTCGGTGGACCTCCGGAGCTCTCCGCCGCCTCTGGCGGCGTGCGTCGGGCGCAGGAGCGCAGCAGGGCCACAGGAGAGCGCGGCATTGGCAGCGCAGCTCCGCACTCGTGACACATGTGAATGAGCATGCTCATATATCAAAGCCCAAGGCTTGCTGCGTTCCCGCTCGCAGCGCACACCGCCTGAGGCGGCGGAGAGCTTGAGAGATCCACCCACCACAAGAGCTCAGGCCTTGACACAGACAAATGCCTGCGGGCTCGCTGCTCGTAGGGGAGGCGCCCCGGACACGCTCGCGAGGGGACCAAAGAGCACGACGGCAAACTCTTCACCGGCTTCGGCCTCTGGAGGCCGTTCGCCGGGCCCTGCAGGCCGTCAGACAAACGAGTCGGGATGGAAGACTGGCCCTGGGGAAAGGGTCGAGACTTCTCAAAGGGGCCCAGGGGCACACAAATAAACAGACACAAATCCCAGGAACCCCCATATGTTCCAATATTTTCTGGACTTGCGTCTTCCCCCCCACTTTCCATAGTTTCGCGTATTTTCCGAGGAATCGCCGATGAATTGTGTCTATGTGATGTTTTCCCTCCCGAAGAAAACGAGTCGGGACGGAAGCCTGGCACTGGGCAAAGGGCAGGGGCTTCTGGGGGCCCCGCGCGAAAAAAAAACACAGAGGCATCGGTTTTTGGCCCCCCCCCCCACGCTCCAGGCGTGGGAGGGAGGCGGGGTCGTGGGGGGGGGGGCAAACGGCGTGGGTCTCGTGCCCGTGTCCCGCCTTCGGCCCCGCCCTGCGCTTCTCTGATCGTCTAGTAATAGATTGCTCTCCTTTGATTCAAGGAAGAGTCAGGACACTGGCAGCCGCGAAGACAGTTCGCCCTGGAATCGAGCACTGCTGGAGCCGAGCACCAAATAGGGATGACAGTGTCAGCCACCATTGCCTGCGATTGCTACTCGGACTGGTGAGTCACACATCTGAACGTGTAGACATGTGGGACATATGAACATCTCTCTATATACATCTATATGTATATATGAATAAGGATTGATAGTTGAAAGGAAGTGTGTGTGTGTGTGTGTGTGTGTGTGTGTGTGCGTGTGCGTGTGCGTGTGCGTGTATGTGTGTATGTGTGTGTGTTTATGTGTAAATGTGTGTGTGTGACTGTGTGTGTGAGTGTGTGTGTATGTGTGTGTGATTGTGTGTGTGTGTGGTGGGGGGGGGGGGCGTACCTTCACGGCGTCGCAAGACTCCACAGGACTCGGCACTGACGAAAGCCTTCCGCCTCCGATGCACCCCCGAGAAACACAGACGCACGAGCTTCACAATTCAAGCACAGTGCTTGCCTGCAGCTTCAGACGTACGGCTATCCTAGTAAATTATATATCATGTCATTTATGTGTGTGAAGCGTACAACAGATATACATATGCACGTGTAAAGTTCGATAACAAGCCGTTTCGATGAGTTCTCGCATGCTGGCATGCTCATCAGGATTACCATGCGTATGTGCCCTCTGTTGCACGGGCCCTATGATAATTACGTCCCTGTCCAGCAGCTGCACCTCGACAAGGTTTTCAGACAACGGGGCCAACACCCCAGTTGGCCCATCACCATTGACCAAATCTGAATAGAGAAAACCGGACCGAACTGCCCTCGGCCCGAACCGGCCGAACCGAACAGGAAGAGCGAACCGGACTGGGAGCGCGAGACGCCTACAGTGTGACCATGCAGGCGTCTCGGGATCGGTTAACACAACTGCCGCAAATCTGGCCTCGGATGTGTTACACTTCGGGAGCGGCCAAGGAGGGGGGCGTCCAAGAGGGGGGGTGCAAATCATGCCCAGCGGCATGTGCGCGGCCCAGCGGGGGGGGGCCAGGGACGTAATGAAATAAGAAGAGGCGCCATGAAATCTGGGGAAATATCATGGCCCCCGCCATGATATCTCCCCCCCCCTAGTCTTAGTCGGGCGTGTCCCCCTGCAGAAAGATCTTCGACGAAAAATAAAATATACTCCAAAAATAACCCAACAAAATCAAACAATAGTCTGGGGACAATGTTTTGAATATTGTTTGACCTTTTTGGTGTATTTTTGGGGTATCCTTCATTTTTCGTCGAAATTCCCCCTGCAGGGGGACACGCCTGACATAACCCTAGTCCTCACCCCCCTCTCTGCCGCCCCCGAACACTGAAAGCGTGCCTGCCCCTGGCCCGGGCCCCGCCTCTTGGCCGCAGGACGCCGGCGTGGGTTCGGCACCAGGATCTCGCCCACCGCCGCCTCCCCGGGCGCGGGAGACCAAGCCCGCTGGACTGCTGCGGTGGACGCGTACGGAAAAAATGGGTACGATGCCCAACAACAAATGCTGTCCCAAACCAACAGCGGCCGCTGTTGGGCAGGCGGCCTTCTGTCTCGAATGGACACAGGCCGCGGCGGCGCGGACAGCGAGCCCTGTTCAAGATGAACAGGAACTGCTGTTGGGCATCGTACCCATTCTTTTCGTGTCCATTTCGTTCGTGCAGGGCGTCGGCATCTGGCTCCCAAGAACATCTGGCTTGTGGCAGAACGCGTCGGTCGGAAGAAGTAGGAAAAAACATGAAGTCGGAAGGCGGATGAAGTTGATGAGGTCCAGGCCCCCCCAGAGAAGAACAGAACACAGCAAAAGCATGTCGATTCTTGACGTAGGACGGCGCTTGAAGCAGATTAGGATTTGGGCATCCAAAAATACCTATCTTCAACGACCGGCGTGTATTTTTACGTTTGTGCGGCTTCCGCTGTCGAAGACGGCCCAATTTAGCCGCCGCTGGCTTCCGCCGAAGGAAAGGGGTCAACTGCCTCGATTCTCGGAAGCGAAGGCCTGTCTTGAACTGGCCACGTAAAGATAGCAGTCTGGCTGAGGCAGGGCAGTCGCGTCAGAAGCCATCGCAGAACGTGTGCAATCTAGCATCCGCACCACCACAGCTTAAACAATTAAGCAAAACCAGAAACGTACTGATGATCTCACCCGAAAAGGCCATGGGCCACAGCGAACCGATGGCGAAGTGAGCTATCCACCAATGGGACACAACAAAGTCAAGACGGGAGCCATGGGCAGGCAATGACAGGGGCAGGGGCACAAACCATCGGGGACGCACCAGGGCGGCAAAGAAAACGGTCGTGCGAACACTTCCTAGTCGCACAATCCAGCGCTTCGGTTGGGCCTGCGCGGAGTTGCGTCAAGAATGTTCTCTCATAGCTGGTGGCCGTAAACCCTAAGCCAACGGCTCCCAGCGGCTGTACAAAACAAGGGCGGGTGGTCTACAAATCCTTTTCCCGCATAGCCACCACCCGCATGACTTGTCTAGCGACACGACTGTGATTGGCTCACGATGCGCCTCACATGAACGTCGTGCGGTTTCTCAAAATCCCCGACTCGCCGCAGATTTCCTTACCAGTGATGGGCCCAACGAACAGGACCCCCAGATTTCAAACGGACGAATGTCGAGCGGACTTGCCATCGTGGTTCAACTGGAAAACAGCCTTTGGCCGTACGAATCTTTCAAATGAGAAAAACTATGACGATCGTTATAGCACGCACAGCATGTTTCCCCCGAGCGCCTACTCATCATCGTAGGGGCGCAGGGTCGACCTACACCCGGTCAAGATAAACAACATACGGTACACGACGATCCAGCTGTCGCAAATCCGCGCTCCAAGGACACAATTTCAAACGTGCAGACAGGCAAGTCGGACCCCCCAGATACGGGAACACACCATCTGCACGCATTCAGATATGATCATGCTTTCCTGACTTCACCCAGGAACTGATGATTATGCGGATGATACAAATAATGGTAATGACGACGCTGATGAAAGGAGATGAAGATGGCCATCGTGTATTTCACTCTCGGGACCCCGTGCGTCCGAACGGGTGGAGATGGTGAGGGCGATACTGATGATGGTGCTGTTGATGCTGAGGATGGCGGTGTTGACAGGAAGCCTACGTACGACGTAGACGCACATGCTCGCAAGCGCATGATTCGTTGGAGGCCTACGTGCACATACTGGCGTCCCCTGCCCCGGCGAATTTTCTTCTCCAAGTCCCTCATCTTCGCCATGGGCGCTGTAACTGCATGGTCGTATTCCCGCAAGTAGGCAGATCTGTTATGGTGCGGGTCGCCTCGCTCTGCTTCAGATTATGGATGGGCTTCCCGAGCTTCTGCCCAAACTCACGCACCCCCTCCGTGGCGTTCAAAAAACAACTCCACAGCTGGTTCGCGTGTTCGGCTGACCACGTTGCCCGCTCCCCGGCGGCCCATTGACTGGCCATTGCTCGAGGTACGCGCGTCAAACCGAGCGGGACACGCAGCCATCGGCGCGATTGGGCGCGGCTGACTGGCGCGGCGGGCGCGCCCATCAGCCCGCCAATCATAATTTCGGCTAGAAGACTCGCGTCCTCTTGGCTGGAAGCCTTCGCCCAGCGACGACTGACTCAGCCTCGGGGAGTTTGGAACGCAAGTCCCCCCGGCATCTCGGGCGGCCATTGCCCGCGGATCGTTTAAACGCGATCCGCTCGGAAAAACAAATGGTCCCGCACGCGAAAGTCTTCTCCACGATGTTACCGCTCAAAGGAGGCGCGCGTAGTAGTAGCGGAACAGTAGTAACAGGTGGTAGTAATTGTAGAAATAATAAGAGTAGTAATTATAGTAGCAGCAGCACCAGAAATAGTGGTAGTAGTAATAGTATTGGTGGTAGTGGAGGTAATAGTGGTAGTAGTTGGAGTATTAGTCGTACTACTAGTAGTACCAGTGCCAGTGGCAGAAGCAATTGTACAAACAATCGTCCTCGTCGTCGTCGTCGTCGTAGTCGGAGTAGTAGTAGTAGTATCATAGTAGTACGACTAGTAATACTAGTAGTCGTAGTAGTAGTCATAGTAGTAGTAGTAGTAGTAGTAGTACCAGTAGTAGTAGTGGTAGTAGTAGTAGTAGTAGTAGTAGTAGTAGTAATCGTAGTAGTAATCGTAGTAGTAATAATCGTAGTCGTAATAATAGAAGTAGTAGTCGTAAACGTGGTGGTAGTAGTAGTACTAGTAGTGGTAGTTTGGGAATTCGTAGTAGTATTTACGGAAGTAGTAGTAGTAGTAGTAGTAGTAGTCGTAGTAGTAGTAGTAGTAGTAGTAGTAGCAGTAGTAGTAAACTTAGTAGTAGCAGTAGTAGTAATCGTAGTAGTAACAGTAGTAGTCGTAGTAGTAGTAGTAGTAATAATAGTAGTAGTCGTAGTAGTAGTAGTAGTAGTAGTAGTACTACTACTAGTAATAATAGTCGTAGTAGTAGTAGTAGTAGTAGTAGTAGTAGTGGTAGTAATAATCAAAGTAGAAGTAGTATCAGCGGCAGTAGTGGTAGCAGTCGTAGCCGTAGTAGTGGTAACAGTAGTCGTAGTAATTAAAATAGTAGTCATCGTATCAATGTAGGCAAATATAACACACATAGTAATAGTACCACCACAACCACCACAACCACCACCACCACCACCGCCACAACCACCACAACCACAACAAACGTCCACAAACCACCGCCACCACCACAACCCACCACCACCACCACCACAAACCACCGCAACACCACCACCACAAACCACCACCACCACCACAACTCACCATCACCACCACCACCACAAAAACCCACCACCACTACCACCACCACCGCCACAATCTACCACGCCACCAACCACAATCGCCACCGCCACCACTGCCACAATCTACCACATCCACCTCCACTATCAGAAGCACAACCCACCATCACCAACACAAACCACCACACCACCACCACCACCGCCGCCACCACCACCACCAGCACCAACTCCACAAACCGCCGCCACAACCACAACCCACCACCACCACCACCAGCACCACAAACCACCACCAAACCACAACCACCACCAACACCACCACAACCCACCACCACCACCACAAACCACCACCACACACCACCACCACAAACCACCACCACACCACCACCACCACCGCCACAACTACCACAACCACAACAAACCACCACACCACCACTACCACAACAGTCACCACCGCCACCACCACCACCACCACAACCCACCACCACCACCACCGTCGTCCTCGTCGACGCTCCCCGCCACCGCCGCCCGCCGCCGCAGGCGCCGGCCGAGAAATTGAAATCGTCGTCCCAGCCGCCGCCGACACAAGCGCCGGCCCGAGGAGAGGGGAAACAGGGGGGGGGGTTGAACCCCCCCCCCTCGATCGCGGCGGGGGGGGTTCGAAACCTCCCCCCCTCCATCAGGGGGGGGGTTCCGTTCCAAACCCCCCCTCCCTCCAAGCGACCACAGAACGCGCTCATTCCTACATCAAATAGCGTTGGCCTCAGGTCGGGCATTTCCCCCGACTGGCCGATGTCGGACGAACGACAGGAAATACCCAAGACAAATTCCAAAGATGAAAACAGCCAAAAAATCGTTCCCAGGTTTTTTTCTGTTTTTGGAGTATCCTCCTCTGTTGAAGGGGCAGGCCCGACTTAACGCTGGCCTTCCGCTGCCCTGCGAGGTGGGCGAGGGGTCGACCCCCTCGGCCCCTGGAGGGCGAGGCCCTGGGTGGACCGCCAAGAGGGAGGGGGGCCAGCGTGATGGGCCTGTTTTCCACCACCACCACCACCGTGCGTTGGAGGAGGACAAGGAGGAGGAGGAGGAGGAGGAGGAGGAGGAGGAGGAGGAGGAGGAGCATAAGACGGAGAGGAGGAGGAGGACGAAGAGGAGGAGGGAGGAGGAGGAGGAGGAGAGGACGAAGAGGAGGAGGAGGAGGACGAAGAGGAGGAGGAAGAGGAGGAGGGGGAAAAGGAGGACGAAGAGGAGGAGGAGGATGAGGAGGACAGGGAGGAGAAGGAGGACGACGAGGAGGAGGGGGATGGACGGTGAGGAGGATGGACGGGGGAGGAGGAGGAGGAGGAGGAAGAGGAGGAGGAGGAGGAGGAGGAGGAGGAGGAGGAGGAGGAGGACCCCCTCCCCCTCCAACTTATGGTGGTGATGGTGGAAAGCAGGCCCATCACAGCAAGTCATGGCCCGAAGCGTGGTCGCAAGCGCGAGGGGTCCGTGAGGCGCCGTGAAGGAAGATGACTGGGCCCTGAAATCTGGAAGGTTTGTATGTGTCTTCCGTGTCGCGAGCCCAACTCGACGGCAAGACAGGTGGAGAGAGAAGTCGATTGCGCTGCAATGCTCTCGAGGCCCCCGACAGCAGGCACCCGACTGGCCGTCGCCACGCGCCGTCATTCCCCTGAGATCTGGAAGGCTGAAAGAGATTAGGGTGGGGGTGCGTGAAACCACAGAAACTCCAGGGCCCCTGCAAGTGGGTTACCCCCCGCCAGCGAGTCCCCCGCCCCTCTTCGCAAGAGGGGGGGGGCCTCGCGGGCAACTCGCCAATGCATCGATTCCCTGAGCAAGGAAACTCGCCTTTTCTGGACACTCGCACGCATGGCAACTGCGAAACGCGACACGGCACGCTGTACATCTTGTGCCAAGCACTGCGGCCTGACATGGTCGCTTCAACTGCCGTGGAACTTCACTTCCTCTGGAACTGTTTCGCACAGGGACAGTCCACGAAATGCTGCGGATGATGGTTAAACAACGCGCACCATACCGAACACCGACCTCTGCATCACAGGACGCACACCTGGCGCGACTGTTTCAGTGTCACGGAGCGCTTTGTGTTGTGCACGCGCTTTTTCCTCCACAACAACCTGGGCTGTCGAGGTTGCCCGCCATGGGCGGGAACATGGCGAAGAGAACAGTGGGGAGCCTTGCCCTGCGCAGTGTTGTGCAGCCTGCCAGTGAATTCTCTGGCGGGGGTAGTACCGCGAAGCATGTTTAATTGCACAACTTCTACAGTCGGGGCTGCTCGGCGAGGACACGCGAGAGGACACGAGGCCCTTCCGAGGGCTACATCGCCATCAGAATGCAGAAGGCATGGGTCACGAGACGGAAGACACACGGGCACCCTTGATATTGGCAAGACCGGCCTACTCTTCATCCCCAGCTGTAGCTGTCCTTGGCAATCCGTGCAGTCGTGGGCGTCGCAGGACCCGTTCCTTCGAGAGCGGCGCTGCCGAGGAGACTTCCCCACGCTTCCCGCGCTTTGGGCGCCCCCCGAGCCGTAGGGAAAAGCTGGGCGCTCTGGTCGGGGTCGGTCACGTGAAGAACCAGAGCCCAGACCCCCGATGTCTTGATTTATCCAATGCGGGGTCCCCGGACGTCCCGACCCTCTCTCAACTGAGCATTTCCTTCGGGTGGAGGGCTTAGGGTGACATCCATATGGACTTTCGCACCTCGAAAATCAATCCGTCTTGCGATTCACCTTTTGCAGATGCAACCCTCGAACATCCATCGAAACGGCACTTCAGATCTCACCCTTATTGCCCTCCACCCACAGAAATTGCTCGGCTCGAGCGGCAGCTGTTCCTTCACGAAGCTTTGCTCGACGGCCCCAGGGCCCGGCGCAGGCCCCCCGAGGCCAGCAACGGCCAAACACGTCTCTCTCCACGACGTGGGCACGTCTGAAGATCGAGAGCGGTCGCACGTGCGAGAGTGCCCCGTGGCCGCCCGGCAGGGAGGAGAGGGGGAACGCCTGCGCCAGCGGCGAGCAGCCCGGCAAGCACCGGCCAAGGCCACAGCCTTGGCCGTCCGGCAGGCGGAAGCGCATCTCGCCTCGGGGAGGAAAGGGACGGGTGGAACAGGGGTCCTGGAGGGTCGATTCGCCGTCACAAAAACAGCAACGCTGATAACGACATCTCTCTATGTATATCTCTCTCTCTCTCTCTTTCCGTGTCTCTCTCTCTCTCTCTTTCTGTCTCTCTCTCTCTCTCTCGCTCTCTCTCTCTCTATCACTCCTTCTCTCTTTGTTCTCTATGCTATAGTTATACGTGTCGTCTCCCTGTCTGCCTGTCTCTCTCTCTCTCTCTTTCCCTTTTGTTTGTTCTCTCTCTCTCTCTATCTCTCTCTCTCGCTATCTCTCCCTCTCTCTCCATCCCTCTGACTGCAACCTTAGCAAAGGAACGAGATGCAATCATAGGTTGAACTAGTCGGGGCAACGGTCGCACTTGTAGTACACATATAAAGCGCAAGCCATGCATTGTGGTCATCTGCCACCGTGCCTCGAGGCCCTCAGGTCCTTCGAGTCCCCAATCACGAATACAGAACATTCAAATGCCTAGAGGGCCCGGACCCAAAATTTGGTGCCCGTACCTCTCCGGGCTTGTCGCGTGACACTCCCTGGCAGTAGGATGCCCCCTCGAGAAGGCCCAAAAATGGCGAGACGCCCCGAAGACTGTCCAAGAAGGCCGAAACGCCAAAGAGCGTTGAAAGACGCTCCGCGACCACGATGGCCTCGAGACAGCCCACAAAGTCCCCAAGACGCGCCAGATAGGATGAGGAGGGTGGTGGGGGTAGGGAGGGTGGGCGAGGGAAGAAGAGCGAGGGGAACGGCGAGGATAACGAAAAACATGGTTCGAAAGAGATTGAGGAGGAGGAGGAGGGAGGAAAACGAGGATGAGCATTATCATGTTCGCCGCCGAAAAAATTCACGCACACGCACACTGTCAAGACACGGCGACACAGACACCAAGTATGCACATCCGCGCGGCCAAACCACAAAAAAACCGTTCACCAAATATCAACGGGCGCGAACGCAGCGATCACGTCTCCCCGCGCAGCCTCAGCTCTCATAGCAACGCACACATTCAAAACGTACTGACTCAAGCACCCGCCTCAATGAGGTCGGGGGATTGACAAACCAACGACGAAGAGGCGGGCCACCTAGCCCGCCCAGACACGGTGCCCAGAACCGCCCCCGCCAATACCCTTGCCCAAGGGGGACCAAGTGGCACGCACCGGTGAGCCTCCGACGACAAAACGGTCGACGTGACCTGGATGCGCCACCCTGGCGTACGGAGGACAAGACTGCACTGCGCGACTTAAGAGGGGGTGAGGCAAGAGGCAGGATGGAGAACGGAGGAAGGAGAAGTGGGAGGGAGAAAGGAGTCGGGAGGAAGGTGGGGGGGAGGTAGTAGGATGGAAAGGGAGGGCAAAGAAGGAAGGAAGGAGGAGGGCGGAGGGAAAATGGAAAGGCAGGAAGGCGGAGGGAACAAGGAGGTTGGAGGAAAGTCGAGGAGGCGGGACCCACTCGCCCCAGCGGCCTTCCACCATGCCCGGGGCGCCTTAGGTTAGGAAACAAACCTTGGGACGTCGTCCGCGAAACTGTTACCAACTAGTCCCACCAGCCATGCAGTGCACGAGTGTTTTAGCACGCGTCCTCTTACAACCCCTTGTTTCCTTTCGCAGGACGGACAGTTCCAATGGGCTGCTGAGCGCAGGCAACGCGTCCAGCAGTCAATCGGCCACGCGGCCAGGACAACCGGGATACGAAAGCTCGACATCGCGTCGAGATGCGTGGCGGCCTGCCGTCTTGCGCACGAGCGCGTTGACGTAGACGCGTCCACATCGACCTGAACCAACGAAAACGAGAGCATGAGTTGGAGGAGGTAAGAGGTTTTTTTTTTGGGTCGACCCATGATCAGCCACATGACTCCGCTGGCGTGGCGAGTGCCAGCGAGTTTTAGCACCAAAAACGGCGCAGGCCGCGCCACGGTCGGGGCCATGCCCCCGTGGCGCGACCTAAGCGCGACCAGGGAGCGCAGGGAGACCGTGCTCCGCGCTCCCTGGTCGGGGTAGGGGGCGCGAGCCGTGCTCAGCGCCAACCCTACCCACCACCCACTCCATGGGTGGCCGCGTTTTACGGCCCCGGGACCACGACACGACGCGACACGACAGGGGGGCGAAACGAACGACGCGACACGAACGACACGAGACGGACGAGCGACACGACGGAGACGAGCCGCCAGCCCCGCCCCAGGGCGGCGAGTGCTGGGGGGGACCCAGCACCGCCCTGGGGAAGCACACGGGGCCTGGCGACCCCCCCGGGGGAAGGAAACCGCACTTTGGCGCCGTCCCCCCAAGGTGCGGGAGATTTTCGCCCCTCGGGCCCGGCGCTCCCCGCCTGCGCCAGGAGGACCCTGGGGTCCCGACCCCTCCCCTACGGGAGGGGCCCCCTCGGGGCTGGAGGAGGTAAGAGGTGGGAGAAGAGAGGAGGAAAAAGGCATCGCGCGTCGTTGAGGACGGGGACCCAACGATAACGTTTTCCTAGGGCCCCGTGGCCGCAGCCCGCACGGACTGGCACAAGCAATCGGACGAGGCCTCGGGTGCCACAGCGTGTACCGGATGCTGTTGGTGGCGCTGTATACCGAGTAAATCAACAACCCTACCTTGCATAGTGCTTCGTCGAATTTGATGATGGTGTTGGCGAGGATGAACGAGTGCATGCTACCAAAAATCGGCGCGTCCAGCTTGAGTCGCTGATGCTGCCAAGCCGTTCCGGGGCACCGCCAATGCTGCGCAATGGGGCCCCAGCTCCAGGTGCGGTTCCGAGCAAGCAGCGGTTGCTGGGGGCGTGGCGTTGTTGAAAGCGGTGGTTGTTGGCGCATCTGTTTCACATTGTGCTGAAAACCGCCAGCTGCGCGCGTGGCGCCACAACCGCCCTCAGCTCTTGAAATTACCAGAGGGCCCGCGGTGCTTGATCTGCACGGCGCCAGAGCCAGGAGGTTGCGAAAAGAGAAACACATCTCACAGAGGGCGGATATCGAACTTGCGCCGCACGCGCATCAACACGTGGGGAAATTTCTGGTAAACAACCTTCGGGAAAGTATGTCGACAAGCGTCGTCGGCCATGGACTTCTTGCACGTTGCGCATCCCACCCAGGACGTGGTACACGTAGCCGTGGGCCTGCTCAAGGCGGCATCAAGTTGAGCACGAACGCGCCCTCGAACTACTCGCGCCATTCCACGTGGACATGAGGGCGCAAACCCAGGCCACGAGCTCTGGCCGGCCTGCCGGACAGCTTCCGAAGACGCCCAGAGCTGGAAGCCTGGTCGAAGCTGTTCACCCTGCAGCTCGCAGACAGGGCCAACCAGACCACGGAGAATGGATGGATTTCGCCATGTCAACTGCCAAATTATTCCTTAAAGTAAATCCACGTTGAAGAACCGCGCTCCGCGCCCATTGGCCATCTGCTGCAACGCCTGCGATTCCCTCGTCAGGGCTTCGTCTGGAAGGCGCTCCAGTTGCGAGACGAAGGCGAGCACCGATGCAACGAAAGCGTTGTAGACGGGAGTGCAACGCTGCCTCTCCGCGCCAATCTTGCACGTGGAACGGCAGCGTGATTCGCATGCCTCAAGCAAATATCAACGAAACACTTCTCCCTCGGCGGGCCCGATGATCAAGCCGAGATCTTCGCCCCTAAGCCTAACCTGCATCCAGCCCCGCGCGGGGGCGTCCTGGGCGAATTGTTGCTGGAATTCCGCCGTGCCCCCGCCGACAAGCGGGTTGGCGATGCAATTGTCGAGTTTGACGTCCATGACGGAGATGCGGGAGAACTCTTCGAACAAGCGAGCCAGCCTGGGCTGCTTGCTCCGCGATGCTTTCGATCGCCAAGGCGGCGTCGACTGCGCAAGCGAAGCACCGCACTCCGGGGCAAGACTCCAACATCATGTCGAGCAGCACTTCTGCGAAGACTGCGTGCAGTAAGCGTGAGAGCGGGCACCTTTGCCGCGCCCCTTCTGCCAAATTGAAACCCTCGAACATCCCCGCGCCCGACGCTGTCCGACAGGAGGCGTTATTGCACAGGTGGCGGACCGTGTTCACCGCGCTGGGGGGGGGGCAGACCAATGCGCTCCAGGGTCTGGAACAGAAACTCCTGCGCATTCGACGGGGAAGCCGCGTTGAAACCCAGGAAGAAGCAAGCTCCATTGTATTGAGTGAGCGATGTCCCGTTCCATGCCCGATGACATTCGTGACGCTAGAACAATTGAGGAAACCCTGCTGGCGCTGCACCAAACCACTCCGCGAGGTGGCTTTCCCACCTGTGCCGCACCGCATTCGCGATGCGGTGGTTGTCGAACCTCGCGATGGGAAAAGTGTCGCGTCCCCCTCGGGAGGAAAAACGCATGGATGCTTTCCCTGGTGCCCGCTACTTTCTTTGGCAGGCAGACCAGCGTGCTCAAATGGACGAGGTGGCCACGTTGGCCGAAATCGTCCTCCGTCAATCGAACATGTTCGGCATCCTCGCGCCCGGGCACCCACGCGAATCTAGAGAGGGCATCCACTCCCAACGGGCACAGTGGTCTCCGGGTGCGGAGGCCGTCAAGGACCGGCATGTTCCCGCTGTGGGAAAGCGCATGCTCATCGGTGTCCCGGTGGGCGACCCTCCGCTCCCACCTGCAGGTCGGCAGGCGGATCCCGCGCCGGCCCGGTGGGCTCGCTAAGTGTCTGGGCGGGCGGCCCGGGCTCCCAGCCGTGGCCGCCGTCGTGCGCGGGCTGGAACATGGCGCGCGCGGCTCCAGGCTCCAGGGCCAGGGGGGGCGTCGGAGGGGAGTGCGGGGGAGATTGCGTTGATGGCGTAGTTGGTGCTGCTGGGCGTAGCGTGCGGGGCGGGCAAGGTGGTTGAGATGGTGCCGATTGGTGATGACGGTCGGCAATGTGCGGCAGCGAGCTGAAGCTCTGCTATGCTGATTAATTCCCCGTCGATCGACGTCCTGTTTAATACTTTGCTCCATTGGCTTTGGAGTAACCGGGCGATCTCGTCAGAAGACGTGCAGGTGCCATGTTCTGACTCCTTTCCCGTCTTGATATCGAGATTGAGATTGCGTCGTACGCGTTCCTTCCGAACCTTCCGGCGTAGAATATTCGGCTTAAATTGGGCAACCGCGAGGCCGCGCATTTTCTCCGTGAGCGGCTGACGAACGATATCGAGAGCATAGCATTTTCAGACGCTGAAGCCAATCTCAGTCACGAGCCTCAAGCTCGGATGGACCAACGAACTCGTGAATCGCAGGGTAGTCCGCCACCCTCCTGCACATCGTCTGGAGGTGGAGCCCTTCCGCAGCGCGGATGAAGCTGAGGGTGCAGTTAAGTTGACTCCCCGTGGTTACTGCTGGGTGTATCTCCTCCTCACTCCGCATGTTGTCGGATACTGTGCACATGGCCCGTCTGGCTAAAACGAACAGTCGAATGTCGTTGGTTTGGTCTTCGTCCTTCTCGAGCTCCTCCAGCTCTGCAGAAACACGTTTCGCCCAGCGCGTATTTCGCAAATGGTGTGGGTTTATGCTCGGGAGTGCGGGCAATACTTCTGTAAATATCCACTGCAGCATGGGGAGTCGGGCTCCCTTCCCCAGAAAGCCGAGGCGCGCTGGATGTGGATAGATTTGGCCCCCAGAGGCTCGATTAGTGCCCATATCCGGTGCGCCTCGGCCTTGTGGCGCCCCTTCCGAGGGAGTTCAACACGCACTGGACATGGATATAAATCTTGCCCGCAGGGGAGAGTCCGTCGGGCGCTTCCCGCAGGTGGCGGCAAGACAAGCCTGGGAGGCACTGGCCCGACAGACGCGTCGTGGGAGCGCGGCGCCCCGTCACGCCTTCGTCGATCCGCTCCAGGACGTTTCGGTGGCAACCCATGGGAGCCTCCCCTACCATCTTGTCGGCTCCGGCGAATCCACGCCAATCCACGCTAGTCGACGCTAGCCGACGCTAGCCGACGCTAAATCGGCGCCCTCATCGACCCACAAACGCTAATCGGCGTTCAAGACGGAACTCAGAGGGCACACCAGGCTCCTATGACTTGCTACCGAACAAGACGTGGTGGCTGCTGTTGCTCATGCCCAGGCGCGCAAGGTGCCGTCCGCCATCAGACGTGAGGCGTTCCTGCTGAACACGTCGAATCCGTGTCAAATCCGTGTCGAATACACGACGGATTCACGTCGAATCTGCGTGGAAACATAGCCGAAGTATGAAGAAAAGACGGCAATTGACAGGACAGGAGAAATCCCCCCAAGCTGCAAAATAAGGAGTCGGCCCGGGATTAAGCTGGATGCAAGCCGGTTTAGCCAGACTCAAAGGAATTATGAAGGATTGTGCCGCATTGAGCTGGATTGGTGCGACCAGTATACCAGCGCTGATGCTGAATGTATCCTCCCAGGAGATGCATCCGAATCTAGGCATCAAATTCAGCCGATTGGCGACAAGAGGGTTGACCAGCCTGGACCGGATCCAGATCGGCCGAGCGATCCTGAATCAAACATTCCGTATCCCGATCCAGATCTGGAGCATCCGATCTGGAGGACCAGGATCGCAACCCGCTCTTCGTATCGGGGTCTTCTGAGCTTTGGGGCCTCTCCTTCAGTATTACCTCCAAGACCTCCAACATACTTCCAAGAGGCCCCCACGAGGCCCGCCGATGCCCCCAAGGCGCTCCCGATGGGCCCCGAGATGCCCCCGAGAGGCTCCTGGGACGCTTCAACAGACGCCCCAAAGGCCCCCAGTATGCCCTCAGGAGAGGCCCTCGACAAGCCCTGGAGGAGTCTCCACAGCTACGTTCAAGAAAGGGGAGGTAGGAGAGGGCAAAAGAGCGGCAGGAGGAAGAGGAGGAGGAAGAGGAGGAGGAGCACCGTGGAGGAGGAGGAGGAGGAGGAGGAGGAGCACCGTGGAGGAGGAGGAGGACGACGACGACGAGGCCGCGAATAGTAGGAGGAGGAGGAGGAGGACGAGGAGCGAGTAAGAAGGAAGAGGAGAACGAGGCTGCGAGCAAGGAGAGGGTGTGTTCCATACCCGCTCCAACGTCAACGACCTGCCCGAACACGAGCGGGTCTTGAAGTCAGCCTTCTTCCTGCTGTGCTGCTGCACTGCTGCGCTAGCACGGTGACGGCGATGACGACGACGACTGTGGCAGGTACTCCCGCAGGCAGATGTATAGATGTTCGCATCCAGCGACCGAAGATGCTGACATTCCAAATATCTCGCCACGGGCCATCGGCACACAATCTGGAACGGGGAAGAGTTTCCTGGTGGAAACGTGTCTTGGACACTGGGCTTTCTCCATGGCTGGCGGTCCATCCTGAACACGACTTTCTAGCGGGCGTGGGACCAAGGGAAAGCACCGGGGAACCGAAAGCGAGGAAAGCATCCCAGGACCTGTTTCGAGCGTATATACGCACTAACGTATGAACGAGACAGGACAATGTATATTGCATCATTGTCCATCCAATTTCTGCGGGCGACATGTTTTGGCCAACACTATCTACACTGTGCTTGGGCCGCCGTTGGCCAATGAGTGGTGGACAGAAATTACAAACATAATGGACATCTTTCTGGCCCTAACGCATGCAACTTGTCACTTCTTCCAAGGCTGCACGTTCCTAGCCAGGACTCGCGCTTCTTCTTGGATGCTCATTCTGGGGACCTTCCTGGAGACGCTCGTTCCACTCGTGCGTCGAAGCTGCGTCGAGCGGCCGTCGATTCGAGTCGACCCTGAGTCGCACCTGAGTCGAGCTTGAGTCGAGCTTGAATCAGTCTAGGGTCGAACTAGAGTCGAACAGATCCGTTAATTGGGCCCCAAAAGGGTCCCCCAAAACGAGCATCGAATTCCCCCTGCTGCGACATCCGGGCAGGGAGGCCTGCCAGCTGGCGGAACTCGGGCCAGTCGCTCGTGCCGCTGCTGCCGAGGACCTCACGCATCGAGGGTACACCCTGCGAAATGCTTAAGAAATCATGGGTTAAGAAATTCATAGTCTCAGATCTTGAATAAAAACCCAAAATTCCCATTCGAATCTTAGCATTTACATTGAAACGTTAAGAATAATCGAGACTCTGGCCGACAACTTGGGTTTTCTTAAGCATCGCCTATGGTGTACGGTCGGGATGAGCCGGTCTTAGGTCGGGCATGTCCTCCTACAGGCGGACATTGGAAGGAACATGAAAGATAGTCAAAGCATAGTCAAACAGATTGCCAAGAGATCGTCCCCATATCATTTTTGAGCTGTTTTTGGCAACTCTTCATGTGGAGGGGCATGCCCGACTTAACATCAGGGCCCTGAGCAATTCAGAGCCTCAACTGAAGTTGCACATGCAGTTACTGAGAAAGTACTATAGTAAAGAACTCTAGAGGTCGAACACCTGCCAAACTCCCGCCGCTCCAATATTTTTTGGGGCGTGGGACCTCTGGGTCCAGGGGAGGGGGGGGAGGGGGCGTCGGGACTTCGAGGAAGGCGGTCTCCGGGCCGTCGGCTGGGCGATCGGGATTCGGTCTCCGCAGGGGCAGCTCCCGAATGCTTCCACGGCGCCCTCCCAGGTCAGCCAACGTCGCGGCTCGCGCACGCGGTGCGCAGCGCGCGGAACTCTCTGCGTTCCCGCGCGGCCGTTCTTGTGAAGCGCGCGCCCCGACAGACCCAGGGCCCAGGGGGGGGCAGACGGCGATCATCTTCGGGCGCCTGCGAGGTGCTTCAAGAGAGTTGCGGCCACGGGGCTGCCCTGCTGCGCTGGGCTGCTCTGTTCAGCGCGGGGCCACGTCCTCGACCGCGCCCTCACACCACGCGCAGGAATCCAAGCATGTTGTCATGTCTCGGGGGCGCGCCTTTTACTAGAGGCCTCCTAGATGAACCTGAGTAGATGCAGAAGATCGCGTCGCATCGCCAACGCATCGGCGATGCATTGGCGATGCATCGCCGATGCGTTGGCGACGTCGGCGGCGTCTCGACGACGTCGGCGTGGAGAAAATAGGGCTCCGCATCGCGCCCCATCGGCGATGCATCGGCGATGTGGCGTGATCCTCCGACCCCATCTACTCCGACTCCATCAAGAAAAGCTGGATGTACTTTCGACAACTTCCGCAAGCCTTCGGCCGGCTTCCTCTGGAGGGACCGCCTTCGCTCTGCGTCCGACGCCTTCCGCTTGCCCTCCGCCGAGAAGTAAATGTCAACATGTCGTTAGATAGGGCATGTCCTCCTACGGGCGGATCAGACCCAGCTCTCTCAGTATCCTACCAGGGCCCTACTGTACTCTACCCTACTCTGCCCTACTCTCGTCTACTCTACGTTCCTCTATTCGGCTGTACTCTCTCCTATTCGACTCTACCCCACTCTTCTTAACCCCACTCTACCATAACATACTCTGGTCTACTCAACTCTGCTCTTACCCTACTCCCAAATGCTCTTTCTCAATTCTGACCCGCTCCACTCTCCTTTCCTCTTCTCTCCTCTGCTCTGCTCTACTCTGTCCGACTCTCCCCTACTCGACTCTATCGTACCCGTACACATTCTTGTTTGCTCCCACTGTACCCAACTCATACTCTACTCCACTCAGCTCTGTTCTACTCTATGTCTGCTCGGCTCTACCCACCTACTATTCCATCTCGGCTCTAGTTGCCCTATCATGCTCTACCCTTCTCGTCTCTGCCCCGCCGTATCCTAACATACTCTATCTCGTTTTTTACGTTGTTCTTACTCTACTCTACGCTGGAACTTCTCTATTCTTCTCGCCCCTACTCGAATACACTCTGCCCTACTCTACTTTACCCAGCCGTACCATGGCATACTCATCTCTACTTGGCCTTGCTCATACTCTACTCTACGCTACTCTTTTTCTACTTACTCTTCCCTCCTCTACTCTACTCTACGTACACCACTATACCCAGCCTTACCCTTGCATATTCTACTCTACTAGGCCTTGCTCCCACTCCACTCTACTCAAATATACGCCATTCGCTTCTCCTCCTAATACACACTACTCAGCTCTGTTAGACTCGTTTGCATTTCTGGTTTATGATATCCGTGTGCTCTTCTCCATTCGGCTCTGCACGTATCTGACCTAAATCTCCTTTACGCGACTCTACAATTCCCTACACGACCCTGCCGTATCCCTGCGTACTCTAGTTGACCCACCCTTGACTCTATGCCTGTAATGTTCTCGTCTACGTTCTACGCTTATTCGTGGTCGTCGTCAATGTCGTCGTCATCGTCGGGAGGAGGAAGATGAGGAGGAGGAGGAGGAGGAGGACGAGGAAAAGGAGGACAATTCGCGAGGGCCACGCAATTCTCTGCTCATCGTCGTCGTCAATGTCGTCGTCGCCAGCGTCGGGGTCAGCGTTGGCGTCGGCTTCGTCGCAATCGTCGCCGTTATCGTCGTGCGTCATGCGTCGCTCGTCGTGCGTCGTGCATCGTGCGTCGCCGTCCATGTCGTCGTCGTCATCGTCGCCGACGTCGTCGTCGTCGTCGACGTCGTGGTCGTCGTCGTCGTCTCGTCGTCGTCGTCGTTGCGGGGGGGGGCGTCCAGATGCACCCAAAAAAATGTTCGGGGGAGGGGGGGGGGGGAACATGGAATCCCAACTAACTTGGGTGGAGGGGGGGGGGTCCAAACATGGTTTCTGGCGGGCAATGAACTCCCCACCCCCTTTCTGCCAGCAGCGGCTGAAAGTACTCTTTCGAAACTGCAGAGCTATAAGGCAGCAGCACTTGTGGCAAAACGAGCAGTGGTCGTAGGGACGGTGAGAGAAGGGAGCGGACCGTATCAGCACCATACATTACCTGTACGACCACCCTTCGGGTGATAAGGAGGTTGGGGGGGAACCAACGTCTCACTCGATCGGTCTCACTATCGATCTCACTATCGGTCTCGCTCGATCGATCTCACTCGATCGATCTCAATATCGATCCCACTCGCTCTATTTCATACTACCGATCTCACAATCCATCTGACGATCGATCTCACAACCGATCTCACTATCGATCTCACTATCGACATCGCAAGCGTCCTCACATGCGGTCTCACAATCGATCTCACTACCGATATCACAATCGATCCCACAATCAACGTCATCACCATCATCAACACCATCATCATCAACGTCATCGACATCACCATCATGAATCAACACCATCGAGACACCATCATCAACTTCACCGCATCACCATCATCATCAACACCATCATCACCATCATCATCACCGGGACACCACCATCGTCACAATCATTTTCATCAACATCATCACCATCGGGGCACCATCATCATCATCACCATCATCGGAACACCACCATCATCATCACCATCTCATCATCATCATGAACAACATCATCAACATCATTATCATCGGGACACCATCATCATCATCAGCAACATCACCACCATCAACATCATCATCATCGGGACACCATCATCATCGTCACACTCATCATCATCACCATCATCATCATCGGGACACCATCATGATCAGCAACATTAGCATCATCACCGGGCCACCATCATCAAAATCATCATCATCACCTCATCATCATCCTCATCGTCAACATTATCATCATCCTCGGGACACCATCATCGTCATCATCATTATCAACAGCATCATCATCGGGTCACCATCATCATCAACACCATCATCATCAACCTCATCACCACCATCATCGGGACACCATCATCATCATCATCATCATCATCATCGTCATAACCATCATCCCATCATCATCTCATCATCATCAACATCATCAGGATCACCAACATCATCATCATCATCATCACCATCATCATCATCGGGACATCATCATCATCATCATCGGGACACCATCATCTTCATCACCAACATCATCATCAACATCACCACCATCATCATCGGGACACCATCATTGTCACCACCATCACCATCATCATCAGCAACATCGTCAACATCATCATCATCATCATCATCACTATCACCATCGGGACACCATCATCATCACCACCATCACCATCATCATCAGCAACATCGTCAACATCATCATCATCACCATCGGGACACCATCATCATCGCCACCATCACCATCATCATCAACATCATCGACATCATCATCATCATCATCATCATCATCATCATCATCATCATCATCATCATCATCCATCATCCATCATCCATCATCCATCATCCATCATCCATCATCCATCATCATCATCATCATCATCATCATCATCATCATCATCGTCATCATCGGGACACCGACGGGACACCGGCGGGACACCGGCGGGACACCGCGCGGCACCGGCCCCTGGAAAGGAAACATTTGGTCCGGCCGCGCCTCAGCCGGAGGCGGGACACCGGCGGGACACCGGCGGGACACCGCGCGGCACCGGCCCCCAGAAAGGAAACATTGGTCCGGCCGTGCCTCAGCCAGAGGAGACTTTCTTCTCGCCCGCCCACGCAGCTTGTCCACGCACGGCACGCACGGCACGCACGAACACGAAACCGAAACCGACTTCCCGATAGGGGGGCTCTCCGTCCCACTTCGATCTCACCCCCTCACCTCCGACAGCAGCTGCACTAACAGCGGTGGAGCCGATAGAGGACTGAGAAAAGTAAGAAGCAACAGCGATCGAGATGATGCAAACAAGTGCCGATGGATACTTGGACAACGACAATAAGTGCGTCGCCGGCATGTGAAAGCAGAGCAGCAAAAGAAACGCTTAGGCGGCGCGAGGCCTGGAACACCTTGTACAACTGGTCTATCGCCGAAGAGCCTGGGCTTTATCTGGGACCAACGCCCAGCTATAGAAACCCGGGCCACCGACCCACACGATCCACCTCTTCCCATGCCCTCATCTCTTCACAGGTCACTATTGCTCCCGCTGCTTCCTTCATATCCCACCTCCCTGATTCCCCTTCTCTCTCTCTCTCTCTCTCCCTCTCCGTGCCGCGGGCGTCTGCGCGTTGCCGCACTATCCACGCCTCGGGCGAATCAATATGTTCGTGTCTCCGGGCGCTGGTCCTCTCGAGCCTCTCCATGGGACCCGAGCTTTGCCTCGGGTACGGGCAAGCAAAAAAAACATCAATGACAGACACGCCGCCCCAGGAGACCCTCAGGAATTCCCAAAAAGGTTCCAAGGTCCATCCCCTCCTCATCTTCAGCTTCTCCTTCTCCTCCTCCTCCTCCTCCTCCTTTATTCCTGTTCCTTATGAATAACTTCTCCCTGTCGCGCCCCGAGGCCAGTTTTTAGGGCGGGCTGGGGCGTTTCGCCTGAGACTTCTTCACCATTAAGACTCTCAAGCTGAAACATTGGCGACAGCTTCACAGATGGAGGGCGAGTGGTTTCCAAAATATGGCTCTCGCCTTGGCGCCGCGCAAATTTGTTTGAAACGTGTAAGAGTTTCAGGGGTTGAGGGTGGATCGTTCTCAACATGTGGCTCCCGCCTTAGCGCCGAGAACATTCGATTAAAACATGTGCAGGGATTTCACGGGTTGGGGGCGGGTCGTTTACAAAATGTGGCTCTCGCCTTAGCACCGCGCACATTCCTGTTAAACATTTGCAGTGGATTCCACGGATTGAGGGCGGTTTCTTTTCAAACTGTGGCCCTCGCTTTAGCGCGCACCTTTTTTAAAAAAGATGCAAGAAATTCATGGATTCCCGTGATCCGCGTACCATAAGCTGCGTTCTGGAAGGATTCAGGATTATGAGGGTGCAACCGTTACGTTGATTCGCGGTGTTAACCTGAAGGATGTCGATCTGGCACGAATCAACAGGGCCGTCACGACGCAACAATCAGGTTGATCCGTGGCGCTGGAATCCCGAAAACAATGTTTGAGCATGCTTGAAAGTCTTCAAACGGTTTTCTTCCAACGAAACCGCTCCCTCAGTGGAAATGAACCGTTGTAAGGGGCACCTGAAGAGGGAGCTTGGAGGGAGGGTGTACTACAACATCGTTGATGCCTCTTGGTTTTACACTGGTCCTCCTCCTCCTCCTCCCGACCGCGCGGACGAACACGAGGTGGGATCCCGACCCGCCCGAATGCAGACTACTCGTCGGAATTGCGCTGATCTTACACTTTGCCTCCTTCATGCTGCGTTGTTGCACAGGGTTTGGTATACACACTTATATATGCACACATACACATACAGGTGGCCCATGCGTACAACAGCTCATGCGGGTGTGTAGGATGTGTATGTGTGCTGTTCGAGGTTAATGCTATGGATGTTGTGTTGTGTGCGTGCGTTCTGATCGGTGTGCTATGTGTGAGGTATGTGGTGGGTCGTGTGCTTTACGCATGTTGTGTGCGTTAGGTGTGTTGTATGCGCATTTTGTGTGTGTGTGTGTGTTGACAGTGTTGGCTGTGTTGTGTGTCATGTGTGCGTGTGTGCGTGTATGTCTGTGATCTCTGTACGTTATGTGAGCTGTATGTGTTGTGCATGTTATGTGTGTTGTGTGTGTGGTGTAAGGTGTTTGGTGACGTCGCAATTTGCGTGAGGGCTGCGTTCTATTTTCCAGCCTGGTAAGGGTGTCCTGAGCGAGAAGGCCCAAACAAGAAATGCAGCTTCACACTTAATCGCGTCTGAGCTCTACTCCCTCGGAGAGGTCAATCTTACACTATAGTTTTATCTGAGCACGTCTATAACCATGAATAAATCAAAGACACGTGTACGCGAATTTCCCAAACCAATGCGAGCAAGCTCGCCGCAAGCGCCGATTTGCGTGCTCTGACAAGTTCAGCGCCGGGGGGATCGCTGTTGGGGCACCAGGAACGAATGCAAAAACAGCCCGCCGCAGGCGACGAATTTTTGGCTTGTTCAGTGAACGTAATATGGGTCGCGGGTTGGTCGCGGGCTCTCCACCTCCACCTGGAAGGAATTCAAAAACAGCCCGCCGCAAACGCCGAACATTTTGATTTGTACACTGAACGCGGTTTGTGTCGCAGGTTCTCCACCTGGAACGAATGCAAACGAACCCCGCCGCAGGCGCCGAAGTTTTGGCTCGTTCAGTGAACGATGTTTGGGTCGCGGGTGAGTCGCGGGCTCTCCACCTCCACCTGGAAGGAATTCAAAAACAGCCCGCCGCAGGCGCCGAAAATTTTGACTTGTACACTGAACGCGGTTGGGTCGCGGGTGGGTCGCAGGTTCTCCACCTGGAACGAATGCTACAGAAACCCGCCGCTGGCGCCGAAAATTTTGGGTGAGTCGCGGGGTGGGTCGCGGGTGGGTCGCGGGTGGGTCGCGGTGGGTCGCGGGTCGCGGGTGGGTCGCGGGTGGGTCGCAGGTTCTCCACCTGGAACGAATTCAAAACAAGCCCGCCGCAGGCACCGAACATTTCGGGTGGGTCGCGGGGTGGGTCGCGGGTGGGTCGCGGGTGGGTCGAGATGGGTCGCGGGGGGGTCGCGGGTGGGTCGCGGGGTGGGTCGCGGGCCGGTGGAGGGTGGGTCGCTGGGGGCGTCGCGGGGTGGGTCGCGGGCGGGTCGCGGGGTGGTCGCGGGTGGGTCGCGGGTGGGTCGCGGGGTGGGTCGCAGGTGGGTCGCGGGGTGGGTCGCGGGTGGGTCGCGGGTGGGTCGCGGGGTGGGTCGCGGGTGGGTCGCGGGTCGGGTCGCGGGCGGGACGACGACAACAGACAACAAACAAAAACAAACAAACAAACAAACAAACAAACAAACAAACAAACAAACAACAACAACAACAACAAGAATCCGCACCGCGGCACTCCACTTCAGCCACGCGCCCAGGGACAGTGAATGACCGTTCGGTTCAGCCCCCTCACTCTGATCAATCGCCGTATCGAGCCGTCGCTCCCCCAAAGCCACCGGGGGCCCTTCGGAAGTTCAAGGAGACGCCTCAGAGGCGCCCAGCAGCCCTCACACATGCCCCTCAGACGCCCCCTAGACCCCTCCGACGAGACCCCAACAGGCATCCATTAGAACTGTGACCCAAAACGAATGACACGGTGGCGGGAAGACCCGAACGCACCACCACCACCACAAACCACCACACCACCACAAACCATTACACCACCACCACCACCGCCACAACCACCACAACCACCCCAACTTACCACAACAACAATGACGACCACCACAAACCACTACACCACCACCACCACCACCACAACCGCCACCACCACCACCACCACCACCACCCACCACAAACCACTACAACAACACAACCACCACCAAAAACCACCACACCACCACAACCGCCGCCACAACAACCCACCACCACCACAACCCACCACCACCATCACAAAGTACCACACCACCGCCACCACAACCACCACCGCCATCACCACCACCCACCGACCCCAAGACCCAGCACAAACCATCAGCACCACCACCACCACTACCACTACAACCGCAAATCACCACGCCACCACCACCACCGCCACCATCACCACCACCACAACCCACAAACCACCACCACCACCACAAACCACAACACAACCACCACCACCGCCACCACCACCACAGCCACAACCACCCACCACCACCACTACCACCACATCCCACCACCACTACCTCCACAGCCACAATCTACCACCACCACCACCACCGCCACAACTACCACCACCACTATCACCACCACAAACCACCACCACCACAAACCACCACACGTCGCCCACCACCACCATACCATCACCTAATTAACCACCCCACCACCACCACCACCACCGCCACAAACCACCACCACGACCACAACCCACCACCACGACCACCACCACATCCCACCACCACCACAACCACCACCACCACCACCACCATGAGAAACCACCACACCGCAACCACCACCATCACCACCACCACCACCACCCACCACTACAACCACCACAACAAAACACCACACCTCCACCACAACCACCACCACCACCACCACTACCATCACCACAACCTACCTCGCGCCAGAACCACTACCACCACCACCACCGCAACCACAACCCACCACCACAACTACCACCACCACCACACGCCACCACACCACCACCTCCACCACCACAACCCACCACCACGACCGCTACCACATCCCACCACCACCACAGCAAGCCACTACACCACATCCACGACCACCCCTTCCGCCACCACTACTACCACCACAACCCACGACCACCACCACAAACCACCACACCACCACCACCATCACCACCACCACCACCACCACCCAGCATCACAACTTCCACAACAAAACACCACACCAACACCACAACAACCACCCCCACCGCCACCACCACTACCACCACCTCAACCTACCTCGCGCCACAATCACTACCACCACCACAACCACCAGGTCAAACCGCTTCACCACCACCGCCACCAACACCACCACCACAACCCACCACCACAACTACCACCACCACCACACGCCACCGCACCACCTTCTCCACACCGCCACCACAACCACCACAACCACCACCACACCCACCACCAACCACCACACTACCATCACCACCTCCACCACCACCGCAACCACCACCACCACTTCAACCCACCACCACCACATCCTCAGAGATGCCCCAAGAGACAACCAAGAGGCGCTCAGGAGGCTTCACAAATGTCTCTCAAAGGCCCTCGAAAGCCCTCCGACGAGACCCCAAGAAGCATCCATTAGGACTCTCACCCAAAACCAAGGCACGGTGGCTGGAAGGCCCGAAGGCCCTGAGGCAAACATCTTTCGACGCAAGCGCCCCCAATGCCGTTTCGACTGCCTCCGCCGACACTGGCGCCGGCCCGAAGAGAGGGAGAGAGGACAAGGAGGGGAAGAGGGGGGGGGGG